GGTATTTGCGGACGGTCCTCACTTTTTCAGCCACTGAATGCTGGGAGATGACAAGGAATGAGTCCTGAAAAGGGCACAGAAAGATGCCCCCCCTTCTAATGCTCTCCCTCCTCCAATCTCCAACTCTCTTGGTTTAACTCCCTCCAGTCCCCAGCTCTGGAGGGTCTCTAAAGGACCAAAGAAGGGGTACAATAGGGTGCCAGGTGAGGGGGAGGCAGAGTTGCCCCCCCACCCTGAGCTGCCTGTCAGTTTTGCCACCCGTGGGCAGGTTGTCACAGTGACACCCCCAGGGAGACAGGAGTCTGTCAGGCAAGCTGGGCGCCATGAGGAAGGCTGGCACCTTTAGGGGGGATGCCAGGAGAGGACGAGGATGCCAGCCCTCCCCCACTCAATGGGAGTGAGGTTGGCAGTGCCACTCACCAGCTTCTCAATGTTCACCAAACCATCTACAAGGGTCTTACTCCCCTCGTGCAGGAAAGTCAGGTCTAGGGATGGGGAGAGAAGCAAATGGGTAAGAGAGGAGGTCCAAAGGGCCCTTCCCCTCCCCCCGACCGCACTCAATCTGGGGGGCGCTCCTCTCTAGGTGGGTTCAGAGAGAGCTGAACACACAGAGCTGAGTTCAGAGGGGACGGAGGGTCAGAATGTGGCATGGAGAGCGTGGAGAGAAGAACGTAGCTTGGAAGTGACTCTCACCTTTGAGGATCAGAGGCACGAAAGGAATCACAGGGGGTTTCATCTTGGAGATCACTTCTCGGTAGCTTTTGTGGTTCCTGCAGGGGTCCTAGCATCCCACAGAAGAGGGATAAAGGGACAGACAGGCCCAGTGTACCCCAAAGTCATCCCCCACTCCCTCCCTCAGCCCCTGCCCTAGAAATATCTCCAATCAGATAGGGGTGTGTTTGGGTGTCTTGCTTGGGGCTCAACTGCTCTCCCCTCTCCTCCAGGGATAACAAAGCAGCAGTCCTCCCATCTTCCCTCCCAGCGTGGTGGGCAAGGGCGGGCAGGGGTGGGGGGACCCAGGCACTAAAAACTTTGAAAGGGAAGCTTGAGGTAAAAGGTTTATGGGCACAGAAATTCTCTGGGGTGCCAGTCCAGGGGCAGATCATAGAGCCAAACCCACTCACTGTCAGGTTCTCAAATTTGCGGAACAAGTTCTTGAATTTCCCTGGCAGCTTCTGCAGTTTGAAGGAAGAGGAGATGTCAGAGTCTGGAGCTCCTTGGGTTTCACGGGATCTCCTGACTAATCCCCAGGTGTTAGAGGGGGAAAGGGCCTGTCTCCCAGGGGGCTGGGAAGCTGGCCGGCGGGGAAGTAGAACCAGCCCTGGGCTAGGTGTGGGGAGCTTGAAGCGGCCCAGAGGAATGAGTTATTCTGGGGAAATGGAGGCCTCTGCAGATGCACCTGCCACGTACAAGGCCTCACTGGGTGCTGTCTGAAAGCCAAGAGCTAAGGCTGCGACCTGGCCGGGACTGCCCCCTCCCACCCCACCCCCACCCCCACCCCCAGGGGAATCCGCCTCTACGAATCTGCCCTGGGACCGGGTCCCTCAGCCCTGCGGTGTGCCCCGGGGCTGTATTTGCCAGAAGAGGGCGCCTCCTTCCAATCGGCACAAAAGCTCCCCAGAGGCGAGCAGCGGTCCCGGGAGGCCGCTTTGGGGTGAGCCCGAGATGTCAAGGCTGAGGGTGGAGGCCAAGACCCCCGAGGTGGGCCAGCACAGGTGGGAGGAGAGGAAAGGGAAGAGGTCTCATCACCTCCCAGGTGAGCCTCAGGCGGCTGACCGCGGCGTTGTCCAGCCCCATGACCAAGGCGTAGAAGGACAGCAGGTCCTGGTTCTGCTTGCAGCTGCGGGGGCGGGAGGCGGGGTCAGCGGGGGGGGCGGCTGGCCATGGCCTCCCCCTCCGCGGCCGCCGCACTCACATGGCCGCGATCTTTATGAACTTCTTGAGCAGCTGCGCGCGCTTGCCCGGGGCCTCGCAGAGCAGCACCTCTGTGGCCACCCAGTGCGTGACCTCGCTGCAGCGCTGCAGCAGCAGCTCCAGGTTGGCCGTTTCCCGGCGGCCGCGCTCCCCGTGGAACACGTAGTCCACGAACTCCAGCTGCACCCGCGGTGGCAGGAGGGGCCGCCAGGGCGTGGGGAGTGCGGGTGGGAAGAGGGCAGTGCGAGGCGGTGAGCAGGGTAAGGCAGGAGGACGGGGGCGGGAGGGGTGGAAAATAGAAGAAAACCGGGACAGGGCAGGATGCAACAGAGAGGGGGGAGAAAAGACAACCAACATTAATAATGCTCTACCGTCTACTGAACACTTACCCGGTGCCAGGCGCTTGAACCATCTGATCGACATTATTGTCCTTGCCTTATTTTCTTTAATAGTGAATATTTTACGAATTCTAACCGTGGGTCAGGTTCTGTGTAAGCAGCAATTGGATCCTGAACCACCCAGGGAGGGGGGCGGGGAAGGCGAGGTGGTTCCTCTACCCTTACTTTTTTTTTTTTTTTTTTTTTAAGATAAAGGGAACAAAGGCTTAGAGAGGTTCTGGCGGCACACTGCCCCAGGGCATGCTGCAAGGGAGCGTCCTAACCAGAACTTTCAGCCCAGACGCTGCCTCCCTCCAGGCCCCCAGCTCAGCTCCAGCCTCAATCCCCACCTCATGCACACAGCGGAACAACTCCCAGTGGAAGGCAGTAAGGTGGTTGGCGACGTCCTCAGGCTCCCCTCGGTGGATCTCTGTGTCTCCAGGGGAGACCTGGATCTCCTCGGGGAGGGGCACCTGGTGGCAGGCAGGGACATGGGCTGGGCTTCTGAATTTCTGCTCCCGGCCCCTCTCAGCCTTCCCTCTCAGCCGAGGCTTGTGAAGGAGTTCTTACCAGGGCCTCATAGCTGTCTCGGGTACAGGCAAACAGGTGACTGTTGATGCCCAGCGTGGTGAAGACACAGTCTTCGGTCGGCTGGAGAAGGACCTTCTCTGCAGGAGAACGAGCTGCCCTGCCTCAGCACCGGCCCCTGTACCCTCACACACCCCAGCCACCACCGCCGTCCCCTCCAGAAACTCCTAATCCCGCCCAGACATGTTCTAGACTAACAGGACTCATATCATCACCAGTTTATGCCATATTTATCTGACATTTTTCAAAAAATGAGTTCTCTTGCATTTATAACCTCCTTTTGGCTCCCAACCTTCTTTATAGCTCTTCTCTTAGTCTATCATCCCTGTGACACTGGGAAAGCAGGAATTTTTTTTCTGAATTAGAGGAAAATAAGGCTATGACTACACTGCAGGGTTTTTGCCTTCCTACCGGGAGGGCCACCCTGTGCCTTTGGCCTCAAAAACGTAGCATCCTTAGATGCTCGTGGAAGTTAAAGGACAAGATTCCAATGTAAGAGGCAAACCACCCAGAGCAGCATGCAAGTGTCCTGGACCACTGCTGCCCAACTTTAATGTGCACAAGAATCACCCGGGGATCTTGTTAAAACGCACATTCTGATTCTGCAGGTCTGGAGTGGGGTCTGAGATACTGCATTTTTAGCAAGCTCCCAGGTGATGCTCATGTGTCTGGTCCCAGGACCGCACTTGGAGTAGCAGCCAGGGCCTGGAATTCAGTCTTTACTCCTGCCCCAAGGCACTGGGCTCGTGAGTTTCTTTTCTTGTGCGCCCCCCCCCCCCCCCCCCCCACCCCGTCCCCAGCCCAGCTCCTTCTGACCCTCACCTCCCGAGGAGGCCACAGCTACCAGGATGAGGGAATCCTCACGCCCCGCAGGCTCCTCTGAGTACTGCAATTTCTCCGTCACAGAGCCCAGAATGTCCTGCACAGATGCTGAGAGGCGGCTGCGTATGGTCACGTAGGAATGGTCAGGCATATAGACCCGGCAGAAGACTGGATAGAGACCGGGAGGTGGATTTTCACCAGTGGGCAGAACGGCAGCATCAGCACAGTTCCCCCCTGGGCACCTCTGTTCCCCACCCCACCCCAACCTGAAATTGGTTGGCCTCTGAAAAACATGCTGTGAAAAGGACTGGTTCTATGACACAGGGAGACTCCACAGAGGGCGCCCGAGAGCCAGAGCCGCCGGAGCCGCTGAGGAATCCCCGCCCCTCCTACGGCCCGCGCTCACTCTCATCGGAACCCCGGAAGGCCACGCGGGTCTGCAGACAGGAGTCTATCCGACGGAAGTGGCGGAAGAGTGGCTTCACCTGCTTGCTGGGCAGCTGGCTCTCGTCCGGGATCCTGCTGTGGACACAGCTGGGCATCAGGAAGCCCTGCCAGGCATACTGCAGGCAAGGCAGGCAACATCAATCAGGGATATCAGAACTGGTCAAGGATGCCCCGGCATCAGGTTCAGAGAGTGGTGAAGGGGGTAAGAAGAGAGGACAATGGCCAGCATGGGACAACTGACTGAGTGACCCAAATCAAACGCCACCTCTTCCGTGAATTCTTCTCTATCCATCCCACCCACCATGAGAGGTCACCATTTTGTCTTAATAGCTGTAGGACATTGGGCTAATATTTGTTTATGTTCATGTCTTATCTCTTTTACAAGATTGAGAGCTGACTGAATTTTATTTTCATCCTACAGGTCTAGCACACTGCCTGGCACATGGTAGGTGTAGGTCATCAGCTGTCTGCTGAATTTTGCCAACAAGAACTTCACGGTCTGGGGGACTTGCCCAGTGGTGCAGTGGTTAAGAATCCGCCTGCCAGTGCAGGGGACACGGTTCAAGCCCTGGTCCGGGAAGATCTCACATGCCGCAGAGCAGCTAAGCCTGTGCTCCACAACTAATGAGGCTGCGCTCTAGAGCCTACGAGCCACAACTACTGAGCGCGTGTGCCACAACTACTGAAGCCCGCGCGCCTAGAGCTTACGCTCTGCAACAAGAGAAGCCACTGCAATGAGAGGCCCGCGCACCGCAATGAAGAGCAGCCCCCGCTCACTGCAACTAGAGAAAGCCCGCACGCAGCAACGAAAACCCAACGCAGCCAAAAATAAAATAAATTAAAAAAAAAAAAAAAAGAACTTCACAGTCTGGGAGGGAGGGAGACGTGCATACAGCTACATCTAACACGAGGCAGGAGGTGTTAGGTGATATAATAAAGGTACGAGAAGGGTTACGTTGGTATGGGGGAGGGACAGCTACTGCTAAAAGATGCCTTCACTGGGAGGATGGCATTTGACCTGGACCTTGAAGAACAACAGGAAGAGAAGGGGGTGGGAGGAGGGCACGCTGGGGTGAACCACATAAGTGACAGCAGGAAGTTGGGAACACAAAGGTGTTCGTGGAATGGTGGGGTGTATAGGGAGTGTCACGGGTGAAGGGGGATGTGGGAGATGAGATGGGAAGAATGACCAGAGGCAGAGAGAGTCTCGGATGTTGCAACTTTATCTTGTAGGCAATGGGGGGCCGTGGATATTCTCGGAACAGAAGCACAATGTTGTCAAGTTTGAAAGATCTCTCTGAGGTCAGCATAAGAAAGACACAAAACCACAAGCTGAAGCCCTGGATGGGAGGCTGTGGCGATAATCCAGGTGAGAGATAATGACGCCTAAATGAGGGTTATGATGGTGGGATGGAGCAGGGAGAAACTGAAAGGGCTGAAAAGATGGAGGGATGGATGCGGTAGTGTCCTGAAGCCAGCTCACATTGGTTCATGAAAGCAGATTGTTAAATTTTGGGGAGCTCTGGCAACTGGTTTTTAAACATAGCCATTCAAAAATTAATTATACATATATATGTAAACTTACATATATATAAAATATATAATTATATATAAACATATATATATATGTTTTATAAACTTACAGCCAAATTATTACCCAAAAAGTAGTTTCCTAATTGTTTCACTACCTTTTACTCTTATCTATGCTCTTCAGGTTAAGTTACGTCTGTTGGATTTATATGGTGAAGATAGTACCTAATGGCCTGCTACTGCACATCTCTTCCCAACTTCACATTCTGTAATGTCATACTGGTAGCTTGGAATCAACCACAGTGAGAGAATTTACACCATGGGAATCAGCAAAAGCTATAAACCAGGGCTCTTTTTCCTGAAGTGCTGATCGTTCAATATTTATCAGTACACCATTGGATTGACAAATAAATGGATGGGAGAATGGACCCCAAAAATGACTGGAGACAGTGCTTTGTGCTACTCTCCAGTAAGAGAAAGGGAATGAAAATAAAAGCATCTTGGAGCCCAAAGGCCACAGACACCCAGCCCTGTAATAGAGGAAAAAGGGGGATTTCTTTCCTGTCCCCTCCCCCAGCCTATTCCCCTCACTTTAGCTCCACTGTTTCCACAAGCTGGTGCAGCCTCAGTGTGTCCTCTCGCAGGTCCTGGTAAAGGGACTCATCCTTCATAATCAGCAGGTACAGATCCTGCAGAGATGAGAAGAGAGAAGGTGAGGGCAGGGGTCTCAAGCATCACCCTCTGCAAGGGCGGGGCAGGGTCTCCATGCCTGCGAGCACAGAAGAACCGTACATGCTAAGGCTCACTGGCATCATTTCCTTCCAGGTACCCAGCTTGAGAAGTATGGTTCCTTCAAAGGGGCCCCCTTCCAGAGCAAACAGCCTGCTCACCCACCTTCTCATCCCAGGCCCACCTTGATGATGCGGCCAGCCCCCTCTTCCTCCTGCAGCAGCCCTTGGTAGGTGTCCAAGAAATGAAGGAGCATGGCTAGACAGGCCTGCTTCCGGCCAAGCCCCTCGGGGCCCTCCATGCCTCCTGCCCAAACAAAGCTGACCCCTAAGTTAAGAAAAAGCCCTGGGCAGGCAGACCTGAGGACACCGGGAAGGGGTATGGGAGGCAATGGGAGGCAAGGCTACCCCTAAAAATTCTCTAGGTTTGGGGCTATGGAGAAAGGGGCTCCAAGGGTCCTTGGAACCAAGACCACCTCATGCCCCAGCCCAGGTTTTTGCCAGAGTAGGTAGGGATGGCACCCACTTGACCACATCCAGCTCCTGCCCCTGCCTGTTCGAATTTCACCTGAGAAAATTCACTAGAAGCTACTCTGCCTGGACCCACCCAACCCCTGATCAGCCCACAGCCTGGAGCTTACAGCAGGCTGATAAAGGCCAATGGTGCTAACCACAAGCCTGACAATACTTCAGTGTAAGGCCTGGTGTTTCTAAGAGAGCCTATGATATTCTACTCACTGGCCTGACGTTTATAATTAGGTCCTAGAATAACCTGGTGAGAAGCCCTGAGAATAGCCCAGCCAGTGGCTTGTCTCTAGTAGACCCTGCTGAAGCACAGCCACGACCTGATGTTTACATCAGACCCTGTAATAACTCACTGGGCAACCAGATGTTTAGAGCAATAATTCAGTAGGGAGAGAGGCACTCTTAATAGAGTAATAACCCCTTACATCTATACAGGGCTCTGCAGTCTCCAGAGCACTCCCACATCTGCTGTCAGAATGGTCTCCAGAGCAGCCCCACAGAGAGGCAGGGCAGGTGCTATTTACCCCCGTTTTACAGAAGAGGAAACTGAGGCCCCAGGAGGTTAGGTGAGCTGCCCAAGGTCACACAGCTGGTGAGTGAAAAACCTGGAATTGAAACCCAGGTGTGTTTTCTAGGGAAGAGCTTAGACCCTCACATCACATGTGGGGTGAGGGGGGGTGGCTCCCTCCTGACCTCCCCTTTTGCAAGCTCCCCAAAAGGATATTACTGGTGTAGCTCCTGCAGAAACTTCTCCGTGGGAAGGAAGAGAGAATGCGTGAGGACGATGTCATCCAGCAGGATATCTGTAGAGAGCGATTGCCACCACTGATGTTGGGAGGGCACTTCCAGGACCCAATTTGACACTCACCACCCCCTCTCTTGCCTCCGAGGGCAAATTCTCTTTAGCCAGGCTGGAGCCCCAGCCACCTGCCCAGTCACGCTCTGCACACACACACGCGCACACACACACATGTGAAGGTTCTGGGCAGCCGCTGTGGGGGTGGGGTTGGCAGCTGCCAAGGCGGCTGGAGAGAAGGAAGGGGCGCGCTTGCATGGCCACGCCCACTTCTCTCCAATGTGTGTGGGAAGCTGGTCAGTTAATACACCAAGCTTGAGATCTGCCTGAAAAAAAGAGGAAGAGGTAGCCCCCAGAAGTGTCTCTAGACAAAGAGAACTTTTAAGCACAGAGGTTAGGGTCAACGTGTGTGTGTGTGTGTGTGTGTGTGTGTGTGTGTGTCCCTCCGCCCCTCTTCACTCCCTACCTAACAAATTTGAGTTCCAACTAGGCAGGTGAGAACGAGCCCCATTCAAAGGGAGAGGGAGCGACTGCCATCTCTTTGATCCCAAAGCCTTTAAATACAAAGCCTGTGTCCTCCTGACGCCCAGGGATGGAAGAGTTAATGATGGAAGGGTGGAGGGGAGTGGTTCCTCACACCACCCTTTCCCCCTCCACACCCCCATCTGGGCCTGGCTCAGCCCGTCAGCCAGGTACAAGGTCGCCCTGACTTGCAGCCAGACCTGGGGTGGGGCAGGGCAGCCTGGCACACACAGACAGGCAGGGTTTGGGGAGGGAGCCAGGTGTCCTCACCAGGACAGGTTAGGGCCAGGTCCCCAGGTACTGCCCCAGGGCAAAACCAAGGCTTCTGATGGCCCCCGGGTCACCGTCCCCTGGCCTCCAATTCCAGCCATGAAGGTGGAGCAGGAGAATCAACACCAGATCCTCTACTTCAACTACTTCATTTCACAAATGAGAAACTGAGGCCCAGAGCTGTGGGAGGGACTTGCCTGGAGCTGGAGTAAGAACCCAGACTCCTGAGTCTTTGTTCTTTTCTCGCCATGCCTGAGGCCAGCAGAGCGTCAGGGTACAGTGGGCAGGTGGGGCTGCTTAGACGTTTGGGAGCCTTTGGTTAGTTTGGGGTACCTTCTGTAAGTCCCCTCCTCCCACACGCCCTGGGAGGGAACCGAGATGGCTTAAGAACATTGGTTATATTGGAGAATATCAGAGTGGCAGGTTAAGCTGATTCTCATTCACTCTGGGACTGGTTTGGGGTTCCCCAAAGCAGTTACTCTGGGGATCCAGCCTGCCAGTCCAGATAATACGGTGACAGTCAATTCAAGAGTCCTTCCCCAGGGAAGACTGAGCAGCGCCTGTGGCACCAGGCCCCTGCCCCTGCGGAAGGGGAAAGACAGTTTCTCCCTTTACCTCTCTGCCAAGTTTTTAAAGTGAGTCTGAGCCCTCCCAGCCCTGACCCTCAGCTCCAGGTATGGGGACGAGGAATAGGGATGCCCAAAATCTTTCCTCTACTCTTTATCTCACAGGAGAGCTAAACAGAGCAAAGGAAGAGGAACGTGGGGGCAGAGTGGGGGAGATGCTGCTATGGGGGCTACAGTTTGGCGTCTGTCTCTTCCAAGGCAGGCTCTGGTCCAATGTACAGCCTCCCCAGGGAATGTGTCATAGAGACATAGGGTGTGTGGTGTAGGCGGGAAGTTATGGTTAAGAGAGCTGTGTGTGTCTGATATTTTTCTAATTAAATGCAAAAGGTGTCAGCTCCCCAGGGCAACTACAACCTGAGCCAAGGAGAGTACCTGGGTGTTGAGAAAAATCTAGGGGAGTGGAGCCCCATTCCACACACCTGGGTTAGGACTCCCTGCAAAGGTCTGGGAGCAAAGCATGAAACCCCATCTTTAGGCCCTCAACCAGGGCTCCCAATACTCAGACCCTGCTGGGCTTAGTGAAATGCCGAGAGCTAGCCCTAAAGACCCTCCGGTCTTCTACCTCAGCCACTAACCAGCAATCTGAGGCCTCAGTTTCCTCAGAATCCCCTTAGTACAGGTGCTGGTGGGGAGTGGCAAAATAACATCATCATTCAGGGAATAAGCCTCTCAGGGTGCGGTTATTTTTTAAAGAGGCCATGTGCTGAGGCCTGCCACCGGAAGGGTGGGAGTCGGAGAGGTTCAGACCCCCCGGGATGCTGCAGGGCCCTGATGTCTGCCCAGCTGCCTCTCCCCCAACAAATATCTTCTGAGTCCGCCCCCAACTAGAATACCTCCCTCCCCCCAAGCTGCTAAGGACAATGCATCCCTTTGCCGGAGGCCAAAAGGCAGCTTGGGCCGTGTGCCTGTCTGGCACTGCCCCACTGAGTGGGCCAGCCCTCTGCTCTGGGTCTTCTAAACGGAATCGGGGACTCCTGGAAGGTCTTGTGGGGTTTGGCCACCTCTAGGGGGCTGCACTGACTGGTCTGGGCAGCTTCCATCTTAGTGTGTCAGGCCTTAATTTTGGGCCGCAGAAGGAGGTAGTCAGCATCAGGGACCCATGAGGGTCTAGATGAAACGTCCAGGTGAGAGGAAGTGTGGCTTAAGGAGAGGAAGGGGTTCAGCTTCTTCTGCAGCCATGGGTGAGGCTGCTACAGGGAGGAAGGTGGCACTGCCACTTCTCTGCTGCAGAAAGGTCTGTTCCTCCCATAGGCCCCCAGCTGACCACTCAACCCCCCCCCCCCCCCCCCACGCCGAGGCTCGGCATAGGGCAACCCCCACCCACCGTCCAAGGGCAAAGGAAGAGGAACCACCAGGTGGCAACCCCCTACTCCGGGATGGATGAGCCAGCCACCCCTTACCTGAGGCGGCGCTGTCCCTGGTGGCCCCTCCGGCCAGCCGCTCCAGAACCCGGTTCAGAAGATGCTCCGGCCGCTCGGGGGCGCCCAGGGGGGCCCAGGGTGGGGAAGTCAGAGGCTCGCCCGGGGACAGCTCGTCTGAGGAGTATGAGGAAGGGGAGCGCAGGGGACCCCCTCCCCCGAGAGGCCCGGGCCCCGGCACCTCCTCCAGCTGCAGCCAACAGGGCCCCCCGCTGCCGAGATCCTCCGCGACCCCCGCCGGCTCTCCACCGTCCTCCTCTGGGGGCGGCTCCAGACCCGGCTCGGCGAGGGGCTCCCGGAGGAAAGCTGGGAGCAGCAGACGAGACACGCTCTGACGCCGCTGCAGCGGCCGCGGTCCCCCGGCTAGACCGCCGCCCCCGCCAGGTCCCCCACCCCCTCCAGGCCCGCCGCAGCTCCCCGGACCCCCGCCGGGACCTCCCGCCACCGTTCGCCCCGCCAGCTGCGACGTCTGCTTCTTCAGAAATTTCTCTAGCGGCTTCATGCCCCCCCCCCCGCCCCTTTGCTCGGGGCCGCCGGGGGA